CATCTCATCCTTGGGCTTCCTCTTTATTACTCCAGTTGTTAGTTTATTACTCTAAAACTTGATAAAGAAACTCTACGATGGCTAAATAGTGAAGTCAGATGAACTATACATTCATCTTTACAGGATTACTGGAACTGACCTATCGAACTTGAAAATATCTCACTTTTTCAGCTTTATTTGAAATACAAATTTAATAGAGATCAATGGAAGCAATGTGAGCGTGAAAACATTGTTTGAATTTGGCCATGATCATCACCTCTTTGTAATGCTTCGCAATAGGATAAATTTTGCTACATGAAAGTTTTGCTTCACGTTTATCACTAAGATTTCCTTCAATTGACCGAAAATAACATTAAATCATGGTCAGATCTCTTTATTCAACATCTTGAAAAGATCAAAAGTGAACATGATTTACTTAGACCCTTTGTAGAAAAAAATTTTGTTTATGAAGAAGAAAGTGACGAAGATCTGGAAGAAAGTAAAGATGATGAAGAAACACGACCTGACTGGATGATCTTATCAGAAATGGGACCAAATACAATTATTGAAAATTTTTCTAGCTTAGATTCATGTAGCATTGATCGTAATCCCAATCTCAACCTTTCTGATGTAAATACTTTTATACAACAAGCTCGCAACAATAGTTCTATTGGTAATGATAATACTATTAATATTGAAAATTTGATATCTGTAGATAGTCAATCATTGAACGAAAAACAGATGGCAGTTTTCAGACGAATTGAATCTCATTATAATGCATTAGTTACAAATTCTTATCAAATTAAATCGCTTAAACTCATTTTAATGGGAACAGCAGGAACCGAAAAGTCACATCTAATTAAAATGATCAGAGACAGATTCTGTAAGATTATAATAAACAACAGTGTCAGTATCTCACCAGTACTCGTTCTTGCACCAACTGGAGTTGCTGTGTTTAATATTCAAGACATAATAATACATTCAGTGCTTTCAATTTCCATTACTAATGCTGATAATCTTGATATAGATGGCGAACATCTAAAACAACTACAAAAAGATTAAATAGTGTATTATTTCATTATTGATGAAAAAAGTATGATTGGACGAAAGATGCTTTCTTTGATCAATATATGATTGCATCAAGTATTCCCGAACAGAAAAACCATCTTTTTGGTAATCATTCAGTTATCTTAGTCAGTGATTTTGGCCAGTTACTACCAGTACTTGATGAACCAATATATGCAAAAACCCTTCAAAATGATACATTATCGAATGATGGCATTATGCCATACAAATAGTTCCAGGAAGTCTATAAACTCAATATTATTCAATGTCAATCAGGAAATATAAATGAGCAATGTAACTTCAGAGACATCTTACTGCGGTTACGTGATGATAAATCAACCTTAGATGACTGGAAAATACTTTCTAAATGATTCATTGATGCATCAACTGTATCGCCTATTGAACATGAACAATTTTCAAATGCTACATGCATTTTACCTCAGAAAGTTGATGTTTCCGAGTTCAATATTAATAAATTAAAATCCTTAAACTGTCTAATTGTGAAAATCAATGCCATTCATACAGATAGTAATGAAACACGTAAAACTGATTCTGATATAGCAAAGGGTTTTGGAACACAATTATTATTATTGAAAGATGTACGAGTTATGCTTAAAGCTAATTTATGAATAGAAGCAGATTTAGTCAATAGTTCCATAGGTACCATCTGTGAAATAGTGTTTGAAGAAGATCAGGTCCTTCTCTCTCTTTCCAATACGGTTCTAATAGAGTTTGATAATTATTCAGATCCTGCTATTGTGACTGAGAAAGGTAAAAGGCTTGTTCTAGTTCTATCTATTAGTCATTCTTGGACTGCAAAAAAAGGAACTTGTTTACAAACACAGATTCCTATTAATCTTGCGTGGGCTATCACCGTCCATAAGAGTCAAGGATTAATATTAAAGAAGGTTATAATAGATATTGGAAAAAAGGAATATGCTGCAAATCTTTCGTTCATCACAATTTTCTGAGTTTGCACTCTCAATAATATTCTTTTTAGACTATTTTTATTAGAAAGACTTCAGCGTGTTAAAAAATGTAAGAGGTTGCAAGAAAGATTGACTGAAGAAAGGTGATTAATATCAATAATTTCTTAATACAATTTATTTTATTGTAATTGCTTATTTATATAAAACTTTATTATTTTTTTTATAATTGTTATATTATCAACTTAATTTAAATATTCAATCGATTTTCAAAAAAAAGTTATATATATACTATATATACATATATAATTATTTCAACAGCATAACATTATACTAAGTTGTTCTGAAAAAAATTGGAATATAACGGCGTGATGCTCGATTCAGATGCACAACGGCCACCATTACCTAGTAAATAATGATCAAAAAAAGTTAAATGGGTTAAAATTAGTAAATCATTTCTTTAGAATGATTTTTATCATTTTAATAGAACAATTTTTTATCATTTTGATAGAATGATTTTTTATTATTTTATCAAAATAATTTTTTTATTATTTCTTTAAAATGATATTTTATATTTTTATCAGAACAATTGTTCTATTATTTCTTTAAAATGATATTTTATCATTTTATTAGAATAATTCTTCTATTATTCCTTTAGAATAATATTTTATCATTCTATTAGAATGATTTTTTTATATTTCTTTTAAAAAAATTTTTACTTGAATTTAGTTTAACTTTAGGCTTATGTTTTACTTAACTTTGGATTCAACTTTAAATTCAAATTTTGCTTAATTTTGATTTGAGTTTAGCTCAAGTTATTTTAAGTTAAATTGAATTGAACTTGAAACTTGACTCAAGTTAATGATGTTATTTAAAACATTTTACTTAATAATTTAAAAACTTTTTGAACCTTTTAGAATAAATTTTTTTAAATCTAAACTAGATTAAACTTAATTAAGTTTAGGAAAACCTATTAGAAGTTTAGATAAAAATATTTATTATAAATAATTAAAAATAATTAGTTTAATCTCAATTATCTCAAAACTCAAATTTCTAAAAATAATTTAAAAGGTATCTTTAACTCAAATTAAATAAGTTAAAATTTTGTTGACTTAACTTGACTCAACTTATTTAACTTAAAATTTAGCTCAACTCATTAAGGGTTTTACTTTTTTATAATTTATACTCAATTAATACCTATTTCATTCTTTTTGGTTTATTGTTTTTATTGACTATTAATTGATATTTATTATTTAATTCAAAAACTATGTTCTTTATCTTTGGTTATTTCACACTATTTTTTAAATTTATTCTACTTGTCACAATTAGATAATTTATGTAATATTTTATGATTAAATGATATTATTTTCATTTCAAGATTAATAGTAATATGAATTTTTTTTTTACAACAATCAATCTCTTTATAGAAGGAGTATCACTTTATTTTTTTAATTAAGATATTTTAAGTTTTTTTTGTATAATTAGATCTTTAAGAATATTAATATTAAAAACTTATTTCTGAACTAGTTTTTACATCATATTTATTGTGAAATCTACATGGTTTATTATTTAATAATAATTATTAAATATTATACAAATTACAATTGAAATTAAATGTTTATATTTATAAACCTTCAATTAAAATTATCAATATAACTTATTTGCTCTAATATATTTTTTGTGATAAATTTAGTTTCATTATTATTTAATATTATTATTAAAGATAGGCATCATAATTAAAAAAAATGGCGAAATTGAGTTGCAACTTATGGCACAATTAAAATTTCTTATAGTACAATTAAGTTGCAACTCAATTGAAATTTAAAAATAATTATAGGGACCATCTTTAATTATTATATTAAGAAATTTTTAATTTTTAAAACTAAGTCTATTTTCTTTATTTATTTCATCTTTAAATTATTTAAAAGTAAATAAGTATTTATCTATAAGGTCATCATCTTCAATTAATTTGATATTTTGGTTTTTAGTTTCTTTTTTCTTTTTTCTTCTTTTATTATTATGAAATATTTTCTTTAAGTTCTAATATATTGAATATATATTATAAAATTTATTAAAATAATTCCATTATATAGGTTTATTAATATTTTGAATATTTCTTAGTTTTACTTATTATACAATTATATTAATACTTATTAAAATATAAAAAAAAATAAGGATAGACTATATTTACTAACTTATCATTAAGAAGTTAATCTGTGATTTATACAATTAGTTTATAAATTTGTATTTTTTTGTAGTTCTTTTTTAATAATTATTAGTATATAATCAAACTGTGACTTAGCTTTGTTACAGTATTTTTTTTTTTGAAAATGCTAGTTAATTAATACTAATCAATTGGATATCATCCTGATTAGTCACTTCTTTTAATCAGCAATCAATAGATAAAAATCAGTAGATACTATAATCAGATATGAATCAGTACAGCTAATTTTATAATTTATAAACCATTTATAATTTTTCAGTTACATTCAGTCACAATAATTTATTATAAAATATTTTTAGTTGCATTCAGTCACAATTTATTAATGGTTCACAAATTATGAAATTAGCTGTAAAGGATGATAAAATCAGGTTTATTTTTAAAAAAAAGAATAAAATTTATTTTTAAAAATAATACATTAGAATAATTTATTTTTTTATATAAAAATTTTATTATGTATTCATTTTTAGTTTATGCTTTATATTTATTTTTATTATTTTTAAGATTGTTTAAATTTGTTTAATTATTTTTTTACAAATAAATTAAATTCAATTTATTATATAACTTAAATAAATATAAATTTTGTATCCTACTCAATCTATAAATCAATTCACATTTAATAAATGCTTCAAAAGCATTTTTCTTTAAAAATAATGATCTGAAAATATATCCTTTAAAGATATACTGAAACATTTTATTTTGAAGGTAATACTTTGAAAGTATTTTACTTCAAAAATAATAGTCTAAATGTGAAATTCTTAAAAGAATTCATATTATAAGCAAATTTCTTAAAAGAATTTGCTAGAGCTCTAAATCAGGTCAGGATAACCTATAACCTGACCTAACCTAATCTGAAAAATTCAGGTTAGGTAGATAAATTTTTAGGTTAACATCAGGTCAGGTCAAGCTTATGACCTGACCTGATAAAATTCATGTCAATCAATTAAATTAAACAAAATAAAATATTTAAAAATTTTTTTTTAATTTTTTTTTTAAAACATCTTTATTTTATTTAATATACTTTCTTTTTATATTCTAATAAAGTTGTTTGTATAATTACTTTGTAATATATTATAATTAAAAAGTTAAATTTTAATTATAAATATTTTTTGCAATTACATTGTTTAACAAATTAATTTTAATTTTTTTTATCTATTCAATTACTTCAAAGAAATATTTAAGCATTTACATCAAAGGAAATCAACTTTGATTGCATAAGTAAAGTTATTCAGTAGATTTTAAAATATATGTATATATATATTTATTATGGTTTGATTAATAGTTGTAAGATTATGCATATTTTTCATAATTGTATTATTTCATGAATTTTTTATTTTTATTTTTTATCCTTATAGTGACTTCAAAGAGTAATTTAAGTATTTTGATCATAGAAAATCAATATTAATTGCACAAGTAAAGTTGTTTAATAGATTTGAAAATATGTGCTTATAAATTATATTATGATTAGATTAATAATTGTAAAGTTATGCAAGTTTTTCATAATTGTATTATCTCATAAAATATTTTTAATTTTTATTTTTTATCTGTATAGTGATTTCAAAGAGCAATTTAAGTATTTTGGTCAAAAAAATCATCAATTTTGGTCGCATAAGTAAAGTATTTCAACAAGTTCAAAAATAAGTGCTTATAAAATTTTATTATGATTGAATTAATAATTATAAAGTTATGAACATTTTTCATAATTGTATTAGCAGTTACCTAATTTGCAGATTTATTGTAACTTGTAATTTTAAATTCTACAATTAAAATAATTATATTAGTATATTTTTTTTTTGAAAAATAATCAAATATAAAAATATATTAATAATTTTTAAAAAAATATTAAATAAAATAAATCATTATTTAGTTTCTTTTTTTAGATAAGTCAGGTAAAATCAAATATATATTTAATTTAGGTTAATTTTATGTCTGACTTGACCTGATCTTATCAGATCAGGTCAAGTCAATTACCCAATCTGACTTGACCTGTTCAGAGCTTTAGAATTTACTATGAAAGTGAATTTCTTAATAGAAATTATTTTAGAAATGAAACTTTTAAAAGAAATTGCTCTAAAAGTGCATTTCTTAAAAGAAATTATTCTAGAAATATATTTCTTAAAAAAAAATACTCTGGAAGTAATTTCCTTCATAAGAAATATGCTGGAAGTATTTTTTCTTTAAGAGAATCATTTGAAAATATTTTTTTTTCAAGAGAATCATTTTTGAGATATTTTTTTAAAGGAAGTCATTTCAGAGATGATTTACTTGAAAAAAATTACTTTTCAATTATTTCAAAGATTTTTTCAGATTTTTATTAATAATGTATGCCTTACAAGTAGCTTGTATGACTTATAAGCTGGTTTAGCTTACCACATTTTATACTCAAGTCAAGCTATCTCATGAGCTAAAATAAATCAGCTCAACTTAAGCTAATGGTTAAGCTAGCTTGAATTAGTTTATATAGAGTTTTAGTTTTAATAATCAATTATTTTTAATATTAATCACTTAGCAAGAGTTACCTTTAATTCTATCATAACATCATTTTTACCAAAACTTCCTTTTAGAATTTATTGTATTTTAAATCACTTAATTTATTATTAATACATTTTTCAAAATTTTAATGAAAAAAGTAGATTTTAAGTATCTATAGATTAGAAAAGAGAGTTTTAAAAAATAAGAAAAGTAATATTATAATAGATATCTTTTTATATTATTAAACAATTTTTTATAATGCTCATTAAATATGATAATTTTATATGATATTTTTTTCAGTTACTATTAAAATATTAATAGCTTATTTTAATGTTAGTCAATTAACATTAATTTTTATATTGTATTATTGAAAAAATAATAAAAGTATTTTATTCATACATTTTAAATATATCTGATAATTAATGCTTTTATCTCTTTATATATTTTATCTACATTGTCATTATCATCATCTACTTAAACACTATTAAAATTTTTTAAATATTTACATTTCTTAAAGATATTTTTTTTAATAGATTTTCTAATTCTATTATATTTCAATTAAAATTCTTTATATAAAGTTTTAATAAAGGATTTTCTTTATAAATATAATTAAAAGTTTTAAATTGATTTGATTAACAAAACAAGTATTTAAACAAAGTTGATAATTTATATTAAATATTTTAAACTTATTTTCCTATAAGTTACAGGAAAAGGTTAGTAAACTATTTAAAAATCAGGTTGTCTGCAAACTCACTATTAAATAAAAAGAAATTGAAATTTGATTTTTTAGTAACCATATTAAATGATATTGACTGACTAAAATTCAAATACAAAAACAATATGAAAAATATAAACCTTTTAAGTAAAGTTAGTATAACATTCAAATTGTGTAACCTTAAAATTTTGTGTTTTTTAAATTTTTTTTTTTTATTAATTTAACTATTAAAGTTATAGTGAATCATTAAAGAGCACTATTGAAGATTCTATCTAAAAATGATATAAAATGATAAATTAGTAAGAATTTATATATAAATTTATATTATAATTTTTTTTTTTGTCCAAATACTCACCATAAAAACTATAACTGTATGGTTTGACTTCACAAAGTGATAAATCACCAATTTTAATTGTTCCTTTATCATTACAATCAAGTTTCTTTTTAAAATATTTAAATCCCTTATTTTTACAAATGTGATTCTCATTTCTATTATTTCTTCTACAATATAATTCAGGATTAAATCTACAGTAACCCATCCCATAAATGCCTTTTTTATATTTAACTAATTTTAAACATTTTACTTCTTGAGAATATTTTAAAACGGTATGCACATAATCAATATCGTGTAAATGAAAATAATTTAATTCTAAGGTTTGTATTTGAGCCTTACATTCGTTTAAAAAGAAATTTAATTGATTTGGGGTTAAAAAAAAATTGATTCCCAAGTAATTTAAAGAATGTGGTAATTTACTTGCCAATTGTTGCAAGTCATATTCGTGAAAATTGGGATAACCATCCTGTATCTCCAAGGTAAAATGTTCAAGAAATTTTAATGAATCAATTAGTTGAAAAAAGCTCGAAATATAAAATGAATACGTTGAAACGTTTAAATAAGATATATTTGGACAATGCTCCCACATGATATCTAAGATTTCTCTCGTGATATATCTTGAGGAGAAAGTCTGTAGGTTACGTGAAGTCATTTTAAGAAAAGTTTTAAAGAAATTTTCATTCCCAACGATGTTTTTATGATAAAAATGTTTCACGGAAATTGAATGATTGTTAAGATAAAATTGTTGGGAAGGATTTCGATTGGTGAAAAATGAAGACCTCTCTTGAGTAATTTCCAACGTTTCCAACTTTGTACAATTTATTAAGATTTGAATTAAAAGGGAATAATCATTCACGATTTGAAATCCAAGAAAGGTTAAAGAATTCTTGTGACTTTTTATCGCTTTAAAGATGGCCTCTTTCTTAAAATTAATGCAATGTTCATTTATCACCAAACTTTTTAATTCAATCATTGATTGAATTAAATAAGGAATGTCAAAATTCTTTTGTAAATGATCATGATCTCTTTATGTCTTTATGAATAAATGTCGAACATTCCTTAATAAACTTGAGATGTTCGGTGAGTGAATTATGAAGGAGAGAAATCGCGCATTGAAATTCCAATTTTTGAATATTTGAAAAAACTTTGGGTAAATTTTTATTACAAGAAATAATTTTTTGAAGAGTATTATTATATTCACTTAAAGTATAATTATTTACAAAATGTTTAAATCCATATGAAGTGTCAAAAATCATATTTATTAATAATTGAAATAAAAAGATATCATTCATCTTATCTCTGGAGTGATATCTTTTAAAAAGGCTTGTGAATTTTTCCGAGTTAAAAGATCGTATGTATTGTGGATAATCGAAAAGAGGTGGTGGTGATTGGGAAAGGAAATGAAATTTAATATTTCTTATTTGTAATCGTTCTTTATCATTCTCGGAAAGACAAGTGATGAGCGTTTGGAGGAGGATGTTTCCTTTTTGATTTGTAAGTTCAAATGGGTTATACCATAAGAATGGCATCGCCATACGACACCATAATCGATTCACTTGAATGCATGAATAAAGTGTGTGATGATCATCTTTTAAATAAAAAAAGATTTCCTTTAAACAATCCGGAAATCGTTTTAATCGAAGTTTTTGAGGATTTGAGTTATTTTTGATAAGCAACTTTTGTTTTAATCGTCGAATGCTGTGTTTCATGATGAGTTAATCAAATCATGGAAATCCTTTTTTTTAAAGAGTGAAAAGTCAAAAGAAAGAAAAGAAAGAAAGAAAAAGAAAGGAGGAATAAAGGTTGATAAAGAAAGAGAAATTATAGTTACTAAATCTGATTACTAATTATTTTTATTTAATATTTATTTTTTTTTTTTAAAAAAAAAAAAAAAATTTCAAATATTTATGACAGTTTATTCTTTTTGTACATCAAATGTGCATCAGCTAAAATTAGTTGCAGTCATTATTCATTGGTACATCATTCTATTTGCATTTCCGTCTTTATTTGATTCGTCCCGGAAGTTTTTTTTGGACATCGTTGAATGTGGCACAGAAGAATTTTAAATTCGAATATAACGTTATACGACACGAGCACGTCAAGATTTAGATTGATAAAATATTTCAAAGCAATCCATTAAATATTAACTCTAGAATACTAAGAAGAATGTCAGAGCTTTTAACAGAGCCGAACAAAAATTATTATAATTTTTCGCCTTACCGTAATGACTAAAATTAAAAGGGTTGACCTCAACACCTAAATCACGGTAAAATCCTTTCAAAATGTCCATTTAAACCAGAAATTCATTTCTTAAATTTGACTTTTCTCAGATGATTAAAATTCTTTAAAATGACCAACGACGACCATTAAGTAATCCAAATCGTCTCGATGAAAATGCATCAATTCAAACGTGTGTAATGGAACATTAGCACATTCTCGAAGAAAGAAACTTAATTGATCAGGAATGATAGAAAAATTAAGGCCCAAATAATTTAATGAAGATGGTAAATCGTTCGCAAACTCCTTTAAAAATTCATGATCCAACCTCGGCCATCCATCTTCCAATTCTAAAGTAAAATGTTCAAGAACTCTTACCCACCAATTAAATTTATCAAATCGAGTTAATAATTGGATCTCATTGAAATATGTAAATAGTTAGATATTATGACGTTCTATCGTATCAATTATGTCTTTGAATGTAAACGATTTTAAATATTGTGATGACATTGAAGAAATGTTTTAATGAAATTTTTATTCCCGCTTACATTACGATGGTAAAGTGCTTGATGTGAATTTCTTGATGCCTGTAATCATCGTCTGTTGAGAAAACTTCCAAATTTTACATCCTGATATTAATCATCAACGAAGAAATCATTGATCACGCAAATTCCCAAGTATTTCAAAGAATTTGAATGAGTCGATAATATGGCGTCATTTATCGACGAGTTCTTTTAATTCAAATATTGTAATATTTGTTCATCGCCAAACTTTATGATTTGAATGAGCGAAGAAATTGCCCTATAAAATGAATGACTTTTCTTCATTCACGATAAGAAATAGGTGTTGTGTGTTCTTACAACATGCCGAGAATTGTATATGTAGATTTGAATCTCAAGCCTTTGAAAGGTTACTAAAAGATTTTTGAAATATGATGGAAGAATGTATGTCATCAATCAATTTATAATCACTTTGATAGTATTGATCGTCGAGATGTTCTTGGTCGGTTAGATTGATGAAATATCATAGATGAAGTATCAATGTAACATTCATCCTAATGATTGTTTAACGGATTTCTGAATTGAAACAAATGATAAATTTTGGATAGCTAAATAAATGTGTCTTCTCTCTAATTGGAAATCCCAGACATGTATACCTTCGAAGATTGTTTTTCGTTTTGTAGTAAATAATTTATTAACGTTTGAATGAGTAAATGTCCTCTCGGGATAATACCATAAATATGACATCGCTAGACACTCCATAATCTATTCACTTGCACTCATGAAAACAATGTTGTCTTATCATGTTTAAGGTTATTAAATATTATGAGGAAACGATTGGAGAATAATTTCCTACTGATCTCGCTTCAATGTTGTGTTTTTTCTTTACAAAAGACAAATATCGTTTAAGTTATTAATTTCTACTATTAATTATGATCTTTTTAAGGAAATATGTATCTCTTATTTTTTGAGAGGAATTTGAATAAACAAAAATAAAAAATAAAAAGACAAAAAAAAGGAGGGATTATTTGTTTGTGATAGGGCGACAACAACAAAAAAGGATTTATAAAACCTTTGCGTTCTTTTATTGGTCCATAATAAAGAATAACGATAAAGTTTATTCTATCATGTGATTCACAATATTTTATAATAATTTGGGAAAGAAAAACCATTTATAACTACAAAGGAATATTATTTTTCTTGCAATAATCAAATAGCTTGTTTATAAGCGGCTAATCTCATATAATTTGTACCAAATTCTGTATCTTTTCACCAGTAACACCGGTGATATATAAAGTAGCTGCATTAAACATACCAACAACTTGGCAATATAAAGCAGCTTCTTTTAAATCCTTTTGAACTCCTATACCCTTAAAATATAACGTAATTGAGCTTCAGGAAATGCATCGCCTGATATAATCCTGCTAATTTCTCTTTTTCTGCCTGGTCCAAATTAATGTTGATCAATTTTTGTTGAATATAGTATCCTTTCATATATTTTCACCTAATCTGCGTGCTTCAAAACATTTATAAGCTAATTCGCGGTTGCCATTAGGTTTTTTATGTTGTCTCGCCGCGTCATCTACTGTCATATCGTTAAATCTGCAAAATTTCTTCGCTTCATCATCTGACAATTTAAGATCATCACTTCTCGCTAAGATAAAACTTGCGATTAAAATTGTGTAACATAATCCCTATACAAAATATAAAATCGAAAATAAATGATCAGCAAAACAATTTTTTTTACCACCTTTTTTAAAAAATGAGTAAACGTCACGTAATACCTTTATCAGTTTTAAGAGAAGAGGTTCAACAAGAATATCAAAAAACACGTGAAGACTTTTATAGCTCAAAGCAGTCAGAAAGCAAGGCAATGTTCATAACTAATAATAAAGTTTTTTCCTTTGTTTTAGAATGTATTAATGAAGTTACAATTATTTGGTATGCGTTTTAAGGCCGCTGTACATGAAAGTAGTGAAAAAATAAAGCAATTGCTTCAAGAAAACGAAAGACATTTTCAAGTAAAAATACCAAAATTTCAAGGTGATCCATATCCTGAAATTGAAAGTTTATATGTTCCAAAAGGAAAAAATTCTGGTGGATCAGGACCTTCTAAATCTCCAAAAGAAAAAAAACCTACTGCAAAAATTGATTTAAATATTCAAGTAATATAAATAAATAATAAAAATTTAAGATATTTATAATATTTAGTGAAACAATATTTTCAATCCTGTGAACAAATTAGGATACCTTATCAGCAAGTCACCGTAAAAAACGCTATGAAAAACGCCAGGCAGCTAGCATTCCTGTACAAAATCAAATCCCAAGATATGCTCTTTGGACTCCAATAATAAGAAGCTCCAAAGTAATTTAATTATTTATAATTTGTACCCCTAATTATTAGTTATATATAAAGCTGTCTCATTTTCATTTTAGACAGAAGATGATCCCGTATTAAGACATCTTTATTATTTTGGAGAAGATAGTGAAGATGATGGAGATATGGATTATTCTGATGTATATGAAGAAAGTATCGTTGGAATAAACGCCATAGATCCAGAAGGTTAATAATTTAAACAGTATTATGGTATCAAAAGCTATGTATCAAATTTCTCATATTACTTTAAATATTATTTATTATAGGAGAGCAGATAGCCGTGAGAACTTTACATCGTATATTTAATCAGAATAACATTTCAATCGGACTTGTCGAGAAATCACTTTTCAAGATTGATCCTAAACAAAGCAAAGGCGTCACTACATCTTCTAGGATGGGTCGATCGCCCGTGACAGCTAACCGTGCAATTGAGGTTGATGATCACGATGTTGAAATTGTAGAAGTTGTCGTTAATGCTCTTGCTAAAATTTTAAAAGGGAAAGAAATCAAGAGGTTATTACACAAGTAAGTAACTTAAACATTTATTAACGTTCGATTGATATTTTTTTTTAACTTTCATTATATTAGGTACTTGGAATATGCTCGTAAATTTGAATTTACAAATGAATCAAGGAGTACACCAGATGACTCAAGTGATATGGACATAGACTCGTAATATATATCTCTCTTTTACCTTACTACTTTTTAATTTCAACTTTAAATAACGCGTAATTTTCTTCACAATAGACGTAGTGAGAGTAGCATAAACTCAATAATGCATTCATATTCTAGTTTGTGGTGTCGACGATGTTATGTGTATGACTGTAAACTCCATGGTTCGTTTAACTTTAAGTATAGTCTTTTTTAAACAAGAACTCGTGTTAAGTATAAAATTACTTTTAAGGTACCGATTTTAGACCATCGGAAAACAAAAAACGTCTTCGAGCATCGAATGATAGAAATAAACCTTGTGGAGCTGATTGTTATACGCATCTAAAAAGAGAGGCACGTTCACCGTATGATAAATGGAATGATGTCGAAATCGCGTTATTTAATAAGGCTGCATTGCTCATGGGAAGCAAGAATTATTGTCAAATAGCTGAGATCATTCCAAGTAAAAATTGTAAACAGGTTTGTAAGGCCCCAAAGACAGTAATTCTATAATGTTTGATTAATTAATCTTTGGCCTTTTGATTATATAGGTCTATCGGCGATCTCGAGAACTTGGTGAAGTTGAAAAAGAACAAGAGGTCGAGGTTGGATCTTCTTCAGATGAATCGAGAAAGAAAAATAGAAAAATTATGACTAAAATAGGTGCGTGATTAAAACGATGATTTTACTTCAAGAACTTAAAAAAACATAACTTTACTTAAAAAATATTTAATGTTAGAAATTGATGCGGAAAATCATTCGGAGTATCACCCTTGTGATCATCCTGGTCGTCCGTGTGATTTCAATTGCCCTTGCAAGAAAGGCAATGTTCCATGTGAAAAATATTGTCACTGTGATCTCGATTGTAAGTTTTGTATTACATTATTTTTTTTCATATAGTTGCTGATTTTTATATGATTATAAAGGCCCAAGACGATTTCCTGGTTGTAACTGTTATGGATTTGGAAAAACTTGTAGTAATCGTGGTTGCATATGTTTTACTAATTATCGAGAGTGCGATCCAGATTTATGTGGATGTACTGCTTCAGGTATATATTTGCTATTTTCGTTTTATCATAAACTTTAAATGAGATTGGTTTAACTATTTTAGAATGCAACACAAATCATTCAGTGTCTGAGACTGTTATGGGGAGATCTCTATGTAAAAATGTTGCAATTCAAAGAAGGCAAGCTAAGGTCAGTCTAAGTTAATAATTTATTCTTATTTTAGTATTAGCTAAGTATCATTTTGTACCATATAAAGCATACCATTGTCGGCGTATCTACAGTGGCAGGTTGGGGTCTTTTCGTGAGAGAACTTGTCAAGAAAAATGAATATTTGGGAGAATATATTGGAGAAGTAAGTACAAAATTTGACTTTCATAATTATTATTAATTTGCATAATTAAATAATTTTTTTTAGGTTATATCACAAACTGAAGCTGATCGTCGTGGTAAAATTTATGATAAAAGAGGCACTAGCTTTTTATTCAATTTAAATAAGGGTATTCTTATTTCTTTTATAAGTCTTGCTTTCAAAGATTATAAATATTATAATATAATATTTCAAAATGATTTTATAGATTTTGTTGTAGACGCGACTCGTAAAGGAAACAAGTTTAGGTTCATTAATCATTCACAAGATCCAAATGCATATTGTCGTGGTATGTCATTCAAAAATTTTTCGTCAACTCCATGTAAATCTTTTGATATACGATTATGCTAATTTCTCTATATATTAGTTACTTTGGTTAAAGGTGAACATCGTATTGGAATATATGCTTTATGTGATCTTGAACCCGGTTCGGAATTATTCTTTGATTATAGGTATGACGTCTTATATATTATTTATCATCAATCGTGTTTGTATTAATATTATTTATTTATAGATACGATGGAGAAGCCTTGAAATTTGTTCCCTTTGAACGTGAACGTGGTACTAGTCCTATGAAACCGATTCCCAATGGAAATAAATCATGAATAATTTTTGATCGGTCATATATAATTTAGAGTTAGAAACAAGTGATGAATTAAAGAAGTTATATTTAGATTTTACAATAAAAATTTCTTCAAAGCAATCACATTAAATTTTTAGCGTGGCATTTTGATATCCATGCATTTGAGTACTACTAGTACTGCTATATAATAGTAATATGTAAGTATACAACATAAATCCATTAAATTCATAATTGTTTTTAGAATATTTAGAAATAATTCACAAGGATTATTTCATTAAATTAGGCATTTGCTATGCCGTCGAGATTGATTTATTTTGATTCGGCCTTGGATTGAACCGACCAAGCTAAAGCTTAAGCTGGTTTCGTGATTCATATCAAGAGATATTCTGAAAATATTTCTAAAGTTGTTTTCATTTAATTATTGCTTTAAAGCATTTTTCTTGGAAATACTTTAGGAACGATTTTCTTCAATGAAATTCTGGAAATAATAATCAATAAAGGAATGTTTTAGAAGCATTCTCTTTAAAGAAAATGCTCTAGTAATATTTTTTCTTGAAAATCATTCTAATAGCAGTTTTCTTTAAAAAGATTGCTTTATATGTAATAGCAATTTTCTTAAAAGCATACCTCTTTAATTAAAACTATTTAAATGCATTTCTTTAAAAAAAATGTCAGGAAACTTTTAATTAAAAAAATGCTTTAATAATAGTTTTTTTTGAAGAAATTGCTTTTAGTATTATCATTTTTATTTAATAAAAATATATTTTTTTTATAATAATTTTCTTAAAAATTATTAGAAATCTAAACATTCTCTTAAAAATTATTACAGAAATAAATTATTATTAAAATCATTTATTAAAAAAATTTTTTTATATATTTAAAGTTTTTTTTAAAAAAATTTCTAATAATTAAATCTTAAAAATATTTATAAAAAGAAATTTATATTTTTATTCTTTTATTAATTAATTATTTTTATTATTTTATATATTATCATCTAAAATTATTAAAAATAAATAATAATATAAACAGAGCTTAAAATTTTATGATATATAATATTTTGAATTATTTATTTATAAATCTTATTGTTATAAAATTTTATATATTATTTATTTATTAGGAAACAGAAATCCTTATAGACATAATATTATGATATATTTAAATATTTAATTAGAATTGATATGGTAGAACAAACAGAAATAATACATAATCATATTATCATAAATATATATCATCCTACACTAAATTATAATTATTATACCATTTTTTTGTCATTTTTTATTTATTTTTTATTAAAATAAAAACTAAATTTAAAATCAAAATAAATGAGAAAATTATAAGCTTATTTAAAGTTAATAAAATAATTAAAAATAATATAGTTTATATATCCTTATAAATTATAATTTATAACATATTATTATACTTATAAAGTATAAATATAATAAGTTGTATATTTTAACTAAATTAGGAATTAAAACTGACTTTTGATCATTTAGATCATTAAATCAGTTTGATTAGATTTAGATTTGATAATCTGAATATTAATTACTTTAATCAAAAAAGTAAATTTCTAGATACCTAATAATTTTAAGAGATTCAAATTAATTAA